ATTAATTTAGAATGCATTGTTTTAGTTTTTAAAAATAGTGATAGTAATAATTCAATTTATGTATTTGATTTAACAACAACATTATAATTTATAATATTTGTATTTAAACATTTTAATTAATAATGTAATTAATAAATATATTGATTTAATAATAATATTATCATTTATAATATATTTAATGTAAATGTTTAATTATTAGTAATAACAATAGTAGTAATTTAATGTATTCAGTTTGATTTAATAATATTATAATTTATAATTAGTAGTTTTATATTTTAAAAGAAGAATAATAATTGGATTAATAATTTATATACTGAATGATAACATTAATTTAGAATACATTATTTTAGTTTTAGATTTTTTAATAATAATTATAGTAATCATTTAATTTATTTAATTGATTTAACAACCACATTATCATTTATAATATTTTTATTTAATATTTTTAATTATTAGTAGTAATAATAATAATAGTAATTTATTTGCTTTAATGATAACATTGTAATTTATAATGTTATTTTATTTTTCATTTTAAATATTAATTATTTTTACTATAATAATAGAATGTTTTTTATTTAATAATGATATTATAATTTACAATACTATTAACACTATTCTATTATAATGTAATGACAGGAACGTAGTTTCCATTAATTGCAATCCAAATGAATTCAGTAGTCACACAACAGAACAGAAAGTGTTGAATTTTCTGTGACCTGCAAATGCATTTAACCCTGTGAAGCATATGAAATAATTAAAAAAAAATATATATTTTTTTTGAAATAGAAAAGTTAATTGAACCTTTAGACAAAATATTTTAAAAAAGCTTAAAGCTTCTGAACAGCAGCATTAAGGGCAGAGTGTTTGGAGTGTGCAGCAGTTCCGCTGTTGTCCTGAGGAGGGCGCTGACGCTATATCGGCTGAAAACACATCTCTTTCTTCTTCATTTGACCCTCTAACTCTAGCACTCTCTATTCTATTTCTATTCTAATGGCCAATCCATCATTTTTTGGAGGATTTATTTATTTATTTATTTTTTAATAAGTATCGGTTCAGGCACCGGAACCGTTTTAAAAGTATCGATTTGGCACCGGTATCATAAAAAACCCAAACGATACCCAACCCTAACTACTACTAAATAAAAATACCTAATAAAAACAAAATAACAAATATTATTATTATTGCAATAATAACAAAGTATTTAAGAAAAATATAATAATAATAATAGTAATAAATTATTATTATTAATAATAATACTTTTTAAATAAAAAAGAATTCAGAAAAAAATTTAA